ATAAGGAATCAAAGAAGATCTAAATAAATGTAGAAACATGTTTGTACTACTGTAAAACTGTACATAGTAAAGATGTCAATTCTCCCCCAATGAGCAATAAGTTTAATGTAATTCCTATCAAAATCCCAACAAGGTATTTTGTAGAAACAACTTATTCTAAAATTTATATGGAAAGGTAAAGACCCTATAATAGATAAAATAATCTTGATAAAGAAAAATAAAGTGAGAAGAATCATTTTAGCAGGTATTAAACCATACTATATAGCTATAAGTAATCAAGTAGTATTGGTAGAGGGAAAGACACATGGATCTATGAAACAGAACAGAGCTCAGAAGGACACCTGGGTGGCTCAGCTGTTGAGCGTCCGCCTTTGATTCAGGGTGTGATCCGGGCGTCCGGAATCAAGTCCCACATCAGGCTCCTGCAGAGAGCCTGCTTCTCCTCTGCCTATGTCTTTCTCACTATGTCTCTCATGAATAAATAAAATCTTTAAAGAAAAAAAAAAGAACAGAGCCCAGAAAATAGACCCATGCAAATACGCTCAACTGACTTTAACAAAGGTACATAAATAATTCAATGGAGAAAGGTAGTCTTTTAAACAAATGTTGTTAGAACAACTGGATACCTCATATTTTATATAAAAATTAACTCCCCAAAAAAAATTAACTCCAAGTGGAGAGATTTCTAAACTAGCTATAGAGTTCTCAGTCTTGACACCAAAACCACAATCCGTCAAAAGAAAATCTGATAAGAAGAAAAACCAAACTGGAAGAATTACAATTCCAGGTTTCAAGGCATACCACAAAGCTATGGTAATCAAAACAGTATGGTACTGACATAAAAATAGGCATATAAATCAATGGAATAGAATAGGAAACTCAGAAATAAACCCACATTATGGCCAATTAATCTTTGACAAAGGAGGAATGAATATGCAATGGGAAAAAAACAGCCTCTTCAAGAAATGGTGTTGGAAAAACTAAATGGCTACATGCAAAAAGAATGAAACTGGATCACTTACATCATACACAATAATAAATTCAAATGGATTAAAGCTCTAAATGTGAGACCTGAAACTAAAAATTCTAGAAGAGAGCAGAGATAAATTCAAAATGGATCAAAGACCTAAATGTGAAACAGGAATCCATCAAAATCCTAGAGGGGAACACAGGCAGCAACTTCTTTGACCTTCACCCTGTCTTATCAGATAAAGTTTTAGTATCCAAAATCTACAAAGAACATATCAAACTCAATGCCCAAACATAAATAATCCAGTTAAGGGCAGCCTGGGTGGCTCAGGAGTTTAGTGCCACCTTCAGCCCAGGCGTGATCCTGGAGACCTGGGATTGAGTCCCACATCGGGCTCCCTGCATGGAGCCTGCTTCTCCCTCTGCCTGTGTCTCTGCCTCTCTCTCTCTCTCTCTCTCTCTCTGTCTGTCTCTGTGTCTGTGTGTGTGTGTGTGTCTCTCTCATGAATAAATAAAATCTTTTAAAATAAATGAATAAATAGATAATCCAGTTAAGAAATGGGCAGAAGACATGAACAGACATTTCTCCAAAGAAGACACAAATGGCTAAAAAGAAGTGAAAAAAATGCTCAATGTCACTCATCATCAAGGAAATACAAATCAAAATCACAAGGAGATACCACTTCACACTTGTCAGAATGGCTAAAGTTAACAACTCAGGATACAACAGATGTTGATGAGGATGCAGAGAAAGGGAAATCCTCTTGCAATGCTGGTGGGAACACAAACTAGTGCAGCCACTCTGGAAAACTGAATGGAGTATGGAGATTCTTCAAAAAGTTAAAAGCAGAATGACCCTATGACCCAGCAATTGCACTAAAAGAATATCAAAATAGTGATTCAATGGAGCACATGCACCCCAATGTTTATAGCAGCACTGTCAACAACAGCCAAATTATGGAAAGAGCCCAAAAGTCCATCAACTGATGGAGGAAGAAGATGGAATATTACTCAGAATGAAATCTTGCCAATTGCAATAACATGGCTGGAACTAGAGTGTGTTATGCTAACTGAAATAAGTCAGAGAAAGACAAATACCATATGATTTCACTCATACATAGAATTTAAGAAACAAAACATAGGAACATAGGAAAAATACATAGGAAAAACAAAAGTAAGATGAAAACAGAGGGACCCCTGAATGGCTCAGTGGTTGAGCGTTTGTCTTCAGCTCAGGGCATGATCCCCTTCCTGTGAGGAGCCTGTGTCTCCCTCTGCCTGTGTCTCTGCCTCTCTTTGTGTGTCTCTCATGAATAAATAAATAAATATCTAAAAAAAAAAAAGATGAAAACATAGAGGGAGGCAAAACATAAGAGACTCAACTATCGAAAACAAAGTTGAGGGTTGCTGGAGGGGAGGTGGGTAAGGGGATGGGCTAAATGGGTGATGGGCATTAAGAAGGGCACTTGTAATGAACACTGGGTATTATATGTAAGTAATGAATCACTAAATTCTATTCCTAAAACTAATACCACTCTATATGTTAACTAACTTGAATTTACATAAAACTTTGTAAGTAAAAAAACATTAAAAACAAGTTTGAAAAAGAATAAAGAAGAATCATACTACCTCATTTTAAGAGGTATTATAAAGCTACAGTAATCAAAACAGGGTTGTATTTTTGAAGAAACAGGTAGATTAATGGAGAATACAGAAATAGACACAGAAATATAGACAACTGATTTTTGGCAAGTCTACAAAGGCTGTTCAGTGGAGAAAGCACTGACTTTTCAACAAATGATGCTAAAACAACTGGACATCATAGGCAACAAAATGAACACTGACCTAAACCTCACATCTTATACTAAAATTAACTCAAGATATCTTGACACTGAAAACACTACATTAAAAAAAAAACTGATACACTGGAATTTCTCAAAATTAAAAATTTTTGCTATATGAAAAACACTATTAAGAGAATATAAGACATACTACACATTGGAGAATACATTTGAAAAATCACTTATCTGAATTACATATCTGATAAAGCACTAGTATTCAGAATATCTAATCTATTAGCAAGAAAACAAACACCACAACCAAAAAATGGGCAATGGGCAAAACATCTGGACATTTCCCAAAGAAGTCTGTATATGGATGGCAAATAAACACTGTTGTTGTTCAACAACAGTCATTAGGGAAATGCAAATTAAAAATCACACTATGACACTACTACATATTTATCTGAATGGCTAAAAATAAAAATTATTGATAATACCTAGAGCTGCCAAGAAACAACTAGAACAGTTTGGCATGCACTTACATTATTCCTGATCATGTTTATACAGAAATCTGTACATGAATATTTATAGAGGCTCTATTCATAATTACTCAAGATTGGAAACAAACCAAGTATCCTTCAATGGGTGAGAATGGATATACAAATATGGTACATCCATACAATATAAACTACTACTCAACCATCAAAAGGGACATACTATTGACATACACAACAATTTGGATAATTCCCAAAGATACTATACTGAATTAAAGAAGCTAGCCTCAAAAAAAATAAATAAAATAAATAAAAAAATAAAGAACCTAGTCTCAAAAAGTTACATTCTCTATGATTCCACTTATATGACACTCCTGAAAAGTAACTCCTGAAAAGTAAGTCTCTACTGGTAGAAAACAGGTCAATGGTTGCTGAGAGCTGAGGATGTGGGAAGACTGTGATTACAGAGGAGTAGCACCAGGCAGGTTTTTTTTTTTTTTTTTTAGTTTATTTATGAGAGAGAGAGAGAGAGAGAGAGAGAGAGAGAGAGAGAGGCAGGCAGAGACACAGGCAGAGGGAGAAGCAGGCCCCATGCACCGGGAGCCTGACGCGGGATTCGATCCCGGGTCTCCAGGATCGCACCCCGGGCCAAAGGCAGGCGCCAAACCACTGCGCCACCCAGGGATCCCCAGGCAGGTTTTTCATATGATGTTGCCATCCTGATTACAATGATGGTTACACAAATCTATGCATGTATTAAACTGATAAGACAAATACATGAGAAGAAAGTCAAATTTACGTTAATTTATTTTTTAAAAAAGGAAATACTAACACTAGAGAAAATAAAACTCATTCAGGAAGGGAAAAGTTGCCACAGCATACTATTTGACTGTCAACAGCACGTACAGTCATAAAAATGTAAATATTGAATGGTCATCTAGTGGAAAGGGTGGTACAATGACATTAGTAAGATAGGAGACCAGGGTGCAGAAATGATACATTTGTGTGTGGTGGGGTAAAGGGATGAAAGAGAAGTAAATCTTTCACAGAGGGATGCAGAACTGAAAACTCAGGAAATAATCTAAACATGGTATTTAATGAAAGAAACAGAGGTAAATGCCAAAAGCAACAGCTAAAAAAAGAGACAAAAATGGTTGCTCTTGGGGCACCTGGGTGGCTCAGTGGCTGAGTATCTGCCTTTGGCACAGGTTGTGATCTGGGGACCCAGTCCTATATCGGGTTCCCTGCATGGAGCCTGCTTCTCCCTCTGCCTAGGTCTCTGCCTCTCTCTGTCTCTCATGAATAAAATCTTAAAAAAAAAAAAAAAAGGGAAATGTTTGTAAATACAAAATGCAGAAGAAGGGGTTATGGGACACTCTAAGCTATATGTACATAAACATCAGGTTAAAATAAAAATAAAATATCCTCTGAAAAAGCTGCCAACATTTTTCCTGTTGGGTTCTCCTTATATTGTATCTCAGTACTAGTTTCTAATCACTGTATAATTCTTGAAGACTGCCCAAAGCAACAAGATAGAAACTTAACACATCAAAGCCAGATAATGCCTTTCCTTTTTTGTGATCAAGGCTATGTTGCTTCAGCTTTGGTGTTGGTGACTGTTAAAGAGAAAATGTAATTCATCTGTGAAAGATGCTCTGAAGGTACTGAGAGCAGAAATGAAAGAACTATTTTACTCTAGTCCCCCTCACTTAAGAATTAGATTAATTACATTCTCAAACAACTTTCCTTCTCCTACCTCATTTTCTTCCTTCAGATCCTTTAGTTCTGGGATGGACCACTGTGAGTCTTCTTCACAGTTGTTATCTTGGGTTTTCAAAGAACTGAATTCAGAATCCTTTAATGGCTCCTTTAACTCAGATTTAAGGTGACTGAAAGCCTTTGCATCATTAGTATCTTGCTAGTAGATATGAAAGAAAAATTATTTTATTTTCTGTACTAGTTCTGTTTCTAAAATCTGCATGCCTATACATCTGGGAGGAATTTTTCACTATGGTTCATACGAAAGCTAAATTATTTTCTAACTTTATCCATGACCCTCCATCTTCCTATCCTGCTAAACTAGATCAGCCAAAAAACATTTACAAAGCACACATTATGAGATGTATACAGGGTAACTCTGTGAATCGAAAGATGAATGCAGCAGGTCCCTACTCTAAAGGAACTCAAAATATAACAGAAAGATACACAGATAATCACTGTACAATCTTCAGTGTAGAGCCATCACAGAAATAGGACCAAAATATTATTGGAGAAGAAGATGCCTTAAGAAGATACATTGAAGGAAGTAATACAACCCGTTAGGATGCTTAAAAGAAGAGTAGGAATTATAGGGAATGGGGTATACAGAGGTAGGGAGTGGGTGGGTATGTGGAGTGTGTGTGTATATAGCACATGGGATACAGGCTGAGGTGGGACACAAGAACTTTAAGTCTTATCCTTTTACAGGAAAGATGGCCTTATTTCATTTTTGAGGCTGAACTATGATTATTTGAATACATCACCACATTGATGAAAGAATATTCTAAAAATTGTAAAGGTTGTATTCAATTCACTACTTAAGTATCAGGAAATATAACTGTTCCACCAATCAAGTAATAATTATTAAGAAAAATTCAGGCTTCAGGAAGATCTATGGACCCAAGAAGCCTAATTAATTTTAATATAAACTAGAAATCTACCATTCTTATACTATTTCAAACATGCAACAGTAAACATTTGTACCTATTTTTCAGAACAGGTTAATCTCCCAGTGGTCAAACTGGCCTCCTTTTTTATCTAATAGTTAATAAATGTCTAACTAAGAACATAAGATCATCTCTACAATTTTATTTTACAAGTCAGATATATAAAACATATTTAAGCAAGATAATATTTTCAAATTTTATTCAATGAAAATAAAAAAGCCTTGCTGGGCCCAAAACCACTTTGGCTCTCAACCAAACACATCCTGTATTAGCTATATTCATCCTGTATTAGCTCAGTACTTGTTGTCATGAGGAATATAAGACTCAGAGGACATGTTTACTTATTCGTTCAAAAATCATTTAAGTTCTTACTTTGTGCTTCATTTTACTTCTATCTAAAACAGGAATACAAAAGTACCAACCCAGTAAAGTGATCATAAAGATTAAATTAGTCAGTACATGACAGTGCTTAGAACAGTCCCTCCCATGTAGTGCAAGTTCAATAAATGCTACTGCTGTTAATTTTTTAAAATTTTTATGACTACTACTGTTGACTGGAATAAAATATAATAGTAATAGTAGTAGTGATAATAATATTGTTATTAACCATGAGTGGGCATCACTAAAAGGTTTACAGAGAAAGTAAGAAATGGAAACACTAGAAGAATCTGAGGCATGCAGAGGGAAGAAGAACAGCATTCGGGTTAGCCTTGGTGAAGTCACAACTGCACTAAGGCAGTAACGGAATTTAGTGTATGTGAGAAATTGTATAGGAGAAAGCATGAATGCAGCAAAGATTTAAACTAGCAAATAATGAGAGGCAAAATACTGTTAAGTTCATTGCATAAAGTTCCCAAACTTTCTTAGGTTTGGAAAGCCTCAGTTTCCACACCTGTTAAATAAGGATAATTGCAGTAACTATATGACAGGGTTCTATGAGGATTAAATAATAGATTATGCTTACAATGCTTTTTATAAAGTTTGTCACATAATAAGTATCCATTAAATGTTAATAATAATAAAAATAATTATAATAATATTTACAAAAACTTCTTACCAGGGTAGGTAATTCATTCTCCTTTGATTGTGGACTTATCTCTCGGTCTTCATTAAAATAGTGCTGCTGGGAAGGACAACCCAGTTCTGTCAAGACCACATCTTTTGGCCCTGCACTGGATTTAGTATATAAAGCTAGAGGGTTGAGTTCTCTGAAACCCTGCAATTAATACAAGGAAGGGTTTAATTAGAGAAAAAGTGAAAAAGTTAGCACTAGCACTTCATAATTTTCAAATGTTGTGGTAATGTATTATTTTCTAAAATTTAACAGTTAAAAAAATTTCAAATCTGAAACTAATGTGTAGTATTTGTTGGATAACTGAGTTTAAATTTAAGAAATTAAAAAATTTTGGGAACCCTGGGTGGCGCAGAGGTTTAGCGGCTGCCTTTGGCCCAGGATGCGATCCTGGAGACCCGGGATCGAATCCCACGTCGGGCTCCCAGTGTATGGAGCCTGCTTCTCCCTCTGCCTATGTCTCTGCCTCTCTCTCTCTCTGTGTGACTATCATAAATAAATTTAAAAAAATTAAAAACAATTAAAAAAAAAGAAATTAAAAAATTTTCAATTACATATTGAAAATTTTTCCTAGGCACAAAAATTATCAACATCAATATTAACAGCGATGTAGACATCACTATGAATACTTGCAAAATAAGAGTGTTGTCTTTTCTAGAAAGACCTCAAATAAATAATTTGAGGTAAGACAGAATCCTCAAATCAATTATTTAAAATAAAAGTATTCACATTATAATCAGCCAAAGGTAGTTTTTTGGGGTCATTTGAAAATTAAGAGTGTTTCTCTATGAAGAAATCAGGCATCTCACAGATACCTCTAAGATTAAAGGATCTATCAAATAATCTTATTAAGTTATCTTAGAGCTTGAAGTGTTGAAAGTAAATAAAACATATTACAAAACACATCCAGACTGCTCCACCTTAGAAGGGACATTTTCTCGGCATACAATAGCATGGCCCTCTGTTCTCAAGACATGATGGAAATAGACATCTTCATTTGAGGATGTATCACACAGAAAAATGTTAAGGATTCCATCTACATATTCATCCACTACCCCCACTAATGGCTTCAAACCACACAACTTCTGGAATTGTATAATAGCTCTGGATGTCCAATGTTCCTGAAATATAATCAAGATATGAGATTGAGATGATAAATTCAAACATGAATTATAGTAACCATACACAAAAATAAATTCTTGATGAACTAGAGATTTTAGTGGAAAAATAAATCCGTAAAAGTACTAAGATAAGCCACTACAAGATATTCATGATTTGGGAATAATAAAAGTCGCAATAAAGGGAAAATTATGACAAATGTGATTATGCTGAAAATTTTATTATTTATGTGGTAGAAAACTTTCACTTTCAGAAATGATTAAGTTAAATTATTGGACTAACCCTCCCACAGAAACTACTATAATTCTAAATAAAATATTTTTTATTATGTCCGAAAGCATGAAAGAACTGTCAAGAGAGTAACAAATCATCAGGACTGAATTAAAGGGAAAGTGAGAATTATTTTGCCTTCAAAAGGAAAATAAAAGAAAAAAAAGAAAAAAAAAAGGAAAAGAAACTAGACTTCACAAGGATTCACAGTTCAATTTTCACATCACCTGACATTAGTATTCCTAGGTACCTGGCAGAAGCAAATGCAAATCTCTCTAGAGGTAGGCAATCTCAGCCCATTATTCAAAAATTCTTACAATTTGTCAGTCAATGAACAGTATTTAGGCAAAGATAAAAGGCATACCAAGAAACAATCATAAGTAAAAACAAAGAAAAACAAAATAAAACTTCAGAAACTTTAGATATTTGATTTTTAGACAATTATAAAGCAACTAAACTTACTACACTTAAAATAAAAATAAAAAAAGAGATGAACTTGAAAGCTTCCACAGATCGGCATCTATAAAAATTCATCTAGCAAAATCACAGAGAGCTTTTAGAAAGTAAAGATACAATAACCAAAACTTAAAACCTAAAAGATTGATTCAGTAGCAGATTAGATATAAAGAGTAAATCAGTAAAGTGGAAGATAATCTGGAAAAAATATACCCAGAATGCAATATGGAAAGACAGAAATATGTAAAATACAGAAGAGTTTTTAAAATATGGAAGATTAAATTGAGAAAGTTTAACATACTTTTAATTGTGTTCCCAGAAAGAGATGCAGAAACAGAGAGGAATATAAATATGAATAATGGGGAAAAGACTATATAATAACTGAAGAGATGATGGCTGGGAATTTGCCAGATTTAATAAAAAGTAACAAAGCACAGAAAAAGGGAGTTCAATGAACCACAAAGTAGGATAAATAAGAATAAATCCACACATAAACATACTAAAACTGAAGACACAGGAAACAAACAGGAAATGCTAAAAACAGCTACAGACCAAAAGGGCACTGCCTTCAAAGGAACATCCATCAGCCTGATGGCTGACTTCTCCAACAAGGTAAGGGAGATGGGAAGCCACTAGAATATCTTCAGGGCACTAAATACATTCCCTGTCAACCTAAAATTCTCTACCTAGTGAATGTACCTTCTAAAAACAAATGCAAAATTACGTTTCCAGGTAAGCATAACCCTCACAAAATGAAATCTTTAAGGAATACAATGCAAATAAAAGGAAAACCTTCCCAAGGCGCTTGAGTGGTGAGAATGAAGAGCAAAGAAATGGAGAAATACATGACTAAATCTAAATGAACATTATTTAATGTGGCCAATCCCTTGAGGGGTTTAAAACAGTAACAATTATACAACAAAAATCGATCAGAAGAGGAGGTTAAAGAAGAAAGTGTTCTAATGTTCTCACATGGTTACATACATATGGGTTGTATTTCCTAAAGTGACCCTAAAATAGGATAGTGTGTTACTTAGTAGAATGATTAGAAGACTTTTCAAAATAATGCATGCAACGTGAGAAAGAAAAAGAATAGGTAAACCGGTGATGTTTTACCAGGGCCACTAGGTTCTCCCAGGGCTGGCAGAGTTTAGCAGTAGTCTAGGGAACTGAGCAGACTGCAGTTGCTGATTTTGAAACACCCACTGTGGCTCCCTCCCTTCAAGGATTTCTCCCTTAACTCCTAGAGATTCCACCAGTCCCAAAAAATGTCCTCTAACTCTTCAAGCCAGCAAGGCTATAGATGAGGGAGCGATCCCCGATAGAAGCTGAAAATTTCCTGATCTTACCCTGCCAGCTTGACTTCCAAGGGTAGATTTCTGCTTTTCTGTTGCTTTGGATTTTGCCTATGGGAATATTAGTCCCACCATGTTACTCTTTTGTTACTCTGCCATTACCAAATGCATTAACTACTTTTGAAACCAGAAAAAAAGAAAAAGTGAGATTTGTTCGTTTAGTCAAAGATCTTTATTAAGCACCTAACATGACACAACCATTGATCTAGGCACTAGAGAAACAGTGAATAATGTTCCCCATCTTAGAAGCTTACATTGTGAATTTGAACAATTAAGATAATACCAGATAGTATTATAAAGATAAATAGCAATGAATGACTGAAGTAGAAGCGTGTACTGTAAATCGGCTGGTCAAGGAAGCCCTTCTTGGTAAATAATATTTGGGCTTAAATTCTGAATGACAAAAGGGGCCAACCAGGAGAATTCTTTGAAGAAGCTATTCCAATGAACAGAGTGGGCAAAAGCCCTAAGGTCAGAAGCATTTCAGGAAGGAAATAAAACAAAAAGAGAAACAAAACTGGAAGCCATCTGGCTAATATGAGAATAATGAACACTGGCTCCAAGTGGGTCACAAGTTTAGCGCTAAGCTTCCTGATGGAAATAGTAAAGAGAAACCTAGTCAAGGCTAAAATGCACCCTAAAAAATAATCCTGAATACAAACTTGCACAAAAATGATAACCGCATACAGTATTTACATACTGAAAAATCAGAACAGATTGAATAACAATAAAGGGACAATTAATCTAGGATATACATTAACCTAACATTGCTATGACTATTAAAATTGAGAACTATGGTAACATATAAATTTATGCTATAATAATGTTAAGACTATAAAATAATACTATTTTATTAGTAATCCTGAGAACCCTACGAAAACTCTGACCCTCAACATCAAATAAACCAAACTAAAAGAAATACATCTAATTTCTAAATTGAAAGTGTTTGAAAGGTAGAACATATTTCTTTTTCTTTCCTCCATTCTGTGTTTTTCAGATAAAAATCTTAAAGGATTAATCCATATATATGTAAGCAACTGGTAAATTAAACAGACAAATTAGTGCAAAAAGTGTGTATGGCATATATAATTAATAAGAGTTCTAGGGTCCCTGGGTGACTCAATCGGTTCAGCAACTGCCTTCAGCTCAGGTCATGATCTCAGGGTCCTGGGATGAAACCCCATGTCCAGGGTCCCTGCTCAGCAGGGAGTCTGCTTCTCCTTCTCCCTCTACCCCTGCCCCCTGCTCATGCTCCCTTTCTCACTCTTGCTCTCTCAAATAAATAAAATCTTCAAAAAAAAAAAAAAAAAAGAGAAAGAATTCTGAGAGAAAACATAAAGTTAGGTGTATGATAATCATAACTACTTAGACAAATATACCTATATGGATGAAAATGCCTCCTGCTTCATCCCACTCCAATGATCTTGCACAGCTATGTTACTAGAGAATTCTTTAAAAAACATATAACTGAGTACGGTGGTTCCCTAGTACATCCTTTAATTGCTCCCCAGCATCTAAAGGACAATGCCCAGACTCCTGAACACTGATACGGATCCCCACCTCAGGGTCCTGTCCATTTCTCTCGTATCACTTGCCATCCACCAACTCCAGCTCATTTACTGCCATGGAAACAAAGAGAGCCATCAAATTTGAGATGTTTTATGTTACCTTCTCTTTAGCTGAAACATCTTTCTTTTTTTTGTCTAGTTATAGTCCTAATCTTCTTTCAGAGAATTCCACTCCAATACCACCTCTACCACAGGGTCATCCCTTACTACCATGAACAGAGAAGTGCACTCCTCCTCTTGCACCTCCAGCACACATTATAAATATCTCTACCTCAAATATGACACAGACAGTGATTTCTGTCTTCATGTCTATCTTCCAGACTATTCACAACGATTTCTTTTAGGGCTTATTCCACATTTTATTTTTGTATCCTGAGATCCTAGAACTGTTCTCAGCATCAAATGTTTGCTGATCAAATGAAGAACAATCATACCTCTACTGGTCTCACCCAAGCCAAAGAACATGGGATAGCCTGAGCTGGAAGCTTTGTGTAGCACCACCTGCAAGAGATAATCAAATACACAAATATTTAATGATACTTTAAAACTGTATTTTATGGACTCTCTAATCCATTCTTGATTTTAGCTATTCATATCACTTCAGAGTATTTTATTCATGCATTTTTAAGTTAATGTCTTATACTTTAAAGCAATCTAAGGAACAAAATTTTTAAACATAACAGCCTTTGAAAGCTATGCAATTAAAGTAAAGGGAGGAATAGACCAATCTTCATGCTATATAAATGCAACTTTTAGCATGACCCCAAAAATCTTTATTTATTTATTTATTTATTTATTTATTTATTTATTTATTTATTTATTTATTTACGATAGTCACAGAGAGAGAGAGAGAGAAGAGGCAGAGACATAGGCAGAGGGAGAAGCAGGCTCCATGCACCGGGAGCCTGACATGGGACTCGATCCCGGGTCTCCAGGATCACGCCCTGAGCCAAAGGCAGGCACCAAACCGCTGCGCCACCCAGGGATCCCCAAAAATCATTTTCTTAATAAGAGATTGGAATTTAGTCTCATAGTCCCTTCAGATTCACAGTCATGTGAAAGAAGACAGGCAATTATAAGACCCCTGTGAAACTAAGTGATCATATACCAAGTCCATCTGCACTAAGAACAAAGAGGGATGCAAGGGAGGAGGCAAGAGAAAAGGAAGAGCAATCCTAACTCCATGTAGCTTCAGCAGGAGGTATCAAAAGTTAAGAATAATTTATTAAGATTTGTTAACTCACTTGAGAAACCTCAGGGAAGACTTCTGAACAGTTCCAATATTTCCAAAGTCTGGGTAGAATACTTCAACTTCCTGTTTCCCAAGGACTCGGTGGATAATGACCCGATACCACCACTTATCCTCAGAAATCCTTACACAACAGAGATGTCCTGGTTGGATAAAATACTCGGGCATGGCATATCGATCAGAAACCAGCTGGTTAGAATAGCAGCGCCTACAGAATTCCATAATACAGGGAATTACACAGGGGACAAAAATATCAAGATCATTTTTACTGATGTAACAAGAGCAAGAAAGTCTTGGCCAAAAGAAAAAAAATCCCCACTTTTTCTGATTTGTTAATGCTTATTAAGACTAATTAATTTTACTTTCCTCTTTCTTATCCCAATCTCTTCAACAACAATCCTCTTCAAATAGAAGTTATACACTCATTTAAACTCATACTCTCTGAACAAAATGTAATCCAACTTTATTCCTCAGCATTTCCTAAAATGGGTGTTTTTAAGACATCAATGGTCTGTTCATTCCCAACTCCAATAGCCTGTCTCCCCGGGGTTTTGATATACTTGCTTTCTCTGTAGCATGACCTCTGACCCCATCCTCTTTCCATCTCTATCCTAGTTTCTAAGACATTGGCTCTGTAATGGCCTTAAAAGTTTGGGTTCTCTGGGCTCTTCTTTTTAGGAAGTATACAGAAAATATAAAACAACAAAAACTTAGGCTTTGGAGCCAATGACATGCGCTCAAATCCTGACTCCATCATTTACTATCTGTGTAACTTTTTTTTTTCAGTTTACTTGCTGAGCACAGAGAGAATAATAAAACCTTATTTCAAATATGTGAATGTATGGCAGAGAGTCCAAATACAGTAAGCACTCCTTAAATATTATTATTCTTGCTGTATACAGCACCATCTCGCCCATTTTCATATCTTATACCACCACAGATAAACTGGTGATTCTCCATCTCAATCTTTAGACCCTGAATTGCTTCTGACTTTACAGATGTTAGTTGTCCAATTTTCATTTTCCTTGCTTCTTTCCCTAGTAATAGAATCCCAAATTTTCACTGAGCCATTCAGATTTCCCAGGCTCCCTTGCATCTAGATGTGAATAATAAGTTCTGGGCAATGAAATGTGGAAAAAAAAAAGTAAAGTGCATTATTAGTATGGTAAAATTTATGTGTATTCTACTACAATTTAGAAAAGTGTAGAAATTTGAAAGTATATTTCAAAGAAAATGGCATGCCTCCAACCTCCTACCCTCATCTCTTTCTCCTTCCCACCGGCTGGAATGAGGGCCTGGTAGATGTAGTAGCAGTCTACATCCTGGACCATGTGGATGGGGCAACACACTGTCTGGGATAGCAAGGCAGGAAACACTTGCATCCCTAACACCATGAAGCTACCCTATCAGTCTGCATTGCTTAAATATGGACTATTATGGGAAGAAATCAATTTTTATCTTCTTTATCCTACTATGGCTAAGTTATGTCTTTGTAACAGTGGCTACACCTAATCCTAACTAATACTGTCCACTCAACATTGTCAATTTACCTCATAGTCACCTTAGAAGCACCAGGTGCAAAATTCTAACCCAGCTGAAATCTACCCAATCTCTAAACACGAGTTTCATACTCTCCCTTTCTGGCTTATCCTTCTCAACCCCATTCTTGTCACCAAGACCTGACAACTGTACTTTCTGAAATTCTCTACAATTTCTCTCTTCCTTTCCACTCTCAGTCTCTTACCAAGACTAGCAGAGTAAGGATGCCCTTCTGTTCACTCCATCCATCTTCCACCCTGCAACTAGAGTTACCCTAAAATACAAATCTGCTGATGCCCCTACTTTCTTAAAACCTTCAGAGGCTCCTGTCTACAGAATAAGGCAGAATTTCTTCCCATGGTGTTCGGACTCCAGCTCTTCCCCAGTATTCCAGTTTCACATTCAGTCACTGTCCACCCAGCCTTATGCAGTGGTGACATCACTCCCCTATTTGTTGCTCCCAGAGCATAATGCCCGTTGTTAATGCTGGCCTTGGTGCCAGGGATTGGGCCTGTACATACCTACCCACACCTTCTTGACTGGCAAGTTCTTGTTTTTTAAGCCTAGCTCAAGTATCTCCTTTGTAAAGCTTTTGTCCACCTCGCCCAGGCAGAATTACCACCTCATGCAATATCTCTCATATCCCCTATCTTCCCAGATAATCGTGGTGTTCACAAAGGCAGAGACCATGTCTATATTCTCCTTATACCACTCATACCTCAACATCCCAAGCACACAGCAGATATGGTATTAATAGTAATAGCAGCCAACATCTGAACTAGACTCGGCTCTAAGTACTTCAACCTTCACAAGTGAGGAGGTAGGTACTACAACTATCTTTACTTTGGAAATAAGGAGACTATGCTTAGAGAGTTAAAATAACTTCAAAGTCACAGAGCAGTAAGCGTGCTTTAAAACATGTACTAAATATTATAGGCATGCTGCAATGGAATATGTGATAATATTTTTACTAAGTGATTATGTGACTTACATTATGCCAGGTATTCTTGGATGAGAGATGAGTACATGATAAGGGAAAATTAGATTAAAAAATGGAATTTTCTTGAAGAGGTACATAATAAATATTCTTATATGTGACACCGATGTAAAAATCAATTATTATTTATTTACTGTTCATAAATAAATCTAAAATAATTACAATGTGTACATTTTACATGATGTTTACTAAGAAAGGACATTTTTCAGCAGAGAAAAGAGATTAGCGTAGTTGTTCTCCAAATCCCTGGGACTCTAATGCTCTTTCAAAAAATCCCTAAGATCAAGGGTATTTTAATATTTCAGTATCATTGTGAAAAATAGTTATTTGCCCTTTTCACTGTGTTAACATTTGCAATGACGGTATAAAAGGTGCCCTGACCAAATCAAGGCAATAGCACCAAACTTTACTAGTAGTCATTTATAGGTCACTGCCATGTACTCACAATAAAATAAAATTTTTAAAAAGTAGACAATGGCATCTAAGAATATTCTTGATAAAGTAATAAAAATTAAGCTTATTAAATCTCAATCACTGAATATTCTCTGTGACAAAAATGGAAGTACTATACACATAAAACACTTCTCAAGTTGTCTTAAGGAAAAGCACTTATGCATTTGAGTTGTGCACTGAGCTAGTTGCTTTTTTTGTGTGGAACATTTTTACTTGGAAAATAAACTAGCCATTGTTTTCATGGAATACCATTTTTGCTTGAAAGGACCATTATCAAGCTATGTTTATTCAGACTTAGGTATCTGACACACAATTTTCTAAAAAATGAAGTGAGCCTGTCACTTCAAGAAAAACACTGACAGTATTTGTCATTAATGATGAAATTCAAGGCTTTTGGGTGAAAATTATGATTTTGGACATGTTGCATCTACCACCATGAGTGTGACAGTTCCCTAATATGTAATACTTTCTGATGAGTTTAGTGGTGATATTAATAAATGCTGAAGATCTACATAACTCAGCAAACCAGTATTTTCCAAATTACCAATGCATGTTTTAATATTATTAATGGAGTAAAAGATCCTTTCCGGGCCAGTTACATTGATCCCACACTGAGAAGAGCCTTATGTTTGCTTTAACGTCCTGTTATTGCTGTCTCGAAATTCTTAATAATTTTTAAACTTGGCACCTTGCATTGTAATTTTGTACAGGAGCCTGCAGTTGCATAGCCAGTCCTGGATCCATTCAAAGTGCAAACGAAAACCAATGGATTTTAACACAGTAGGGTATGAAAAGTTCAAATTCCACATTGCAACTAATCTTTAAAAAACTACCATTTGCCAAGTTTTGGAATGTTCACAAATTTTCTGAAAATATCAAAGAAGATTCACAATTTTCTGAAAAAGCAATTAAAACACTCCTTTTCCTAATTATGTATCTGTGTGAGGGCAGATGTTTTCATATACTTTAACCAAAACAATGTAGCTCAAGAGATTATATTCCAAAGCAAATACTAAAATCAAACTTCCTTCTATTAAGGAAGATATTGAGGAGATCTGCAAAAACATAAAACAATGCCACTATTCTAATTTCTGGAAAATAGTAGCTCTTTTTCATAGAACTACATTATTTATATTCATACAAATGGACTTATCTTATTTTTTAAAATATTTAAATGTTACATATTTTAATTTCTAAGATAAATATCAATAAACAAAAGTTCCTGAGTCCTTAAAAGTCCTAAAACCAAAATGTTTAGAATTACTGATTTAGAATGAGATATATAAAAAATACACTGAAATCAACAGACTCCTACCGCATCTCAATCATCATGTCTTCAAGTAACTCTGATGAATCTCTGCTATAGATTCGGATGTAGAATTGACTAGGAGAGATGATATACTCCACAAAGACTCCCACAAGGGTACTGGTATCTAATGGTGGCAGTCTGCATAATTTCTTGTCCCGTACAGCATCTGGTGGGATATCATGATTTGCCATTGCCAGGTTGAGCTCTGATTTGTTAACACCTACTTGCTACAAGTTAAAACGGAAAAGAAACCGCTATAAATCTCTGAGTGACATTTCAAACTAGTGACATTTCTCAAAGTATATTTCATGAGTCATCTCTATCAGAATCACCTGGGAAATTATAAAAATGAAGCCTCTTAGGCTTTAGCCCAGGCAGATTTAAAATACCTGGAAGTGCAGCCTCCAATTATGCATTTAAAAAAACCTCCCTAGGGATCCCTGGGTGGCGCAGCGGTTTGGCGCCTGCCTTTGGCCCAGGGCACGATCCTGGAGACCCGGGATCGAATCCCACGTCGGGCTCCCGATGCATGGAGCCTGCTTCTCCCTCTGCCTGTGTCTCTGCCTCTCTCTCTCTCTCTCTCTCTGTGACTATCATAAATTAAAATAAAAATAAAAAATAATAAAAAATAAAAATAAAAAAAACCTCCCTAGGTAATCCTCATGTATATCAATTTATGAAAACTACTGCCTTATGATATTAAAAGTATGCTATACAGCTGCCCCATACAAAATTGAAAATATGGTACTTAAAATATTCAGGCTGAGCCAAGATAGTCATCCTACCCACCCATACCAACAAAGGTAGCTTTAGATAAGAGATTAAAATTCACACTAGTCTTCCAATCAAAAAGGGTTTCTCAAACATCCTCATTCTAAAATATACTATTTTCCTGTAGGCCTTTCTCTTGTCCTCTAGAAAATGTGCAGTAGGCTCTTTAAACCAAGGTTTTCCTTCCTTTCCAGGCATAGATGGTAGAAGAAAAGAAGAGTAAGCAATTAATTCTTTAATAACAGCAAAATAAACAGGAGATGAAAACGCAAAGAGGAAGAATTGTGTGGAAATGTAATGGAAAAAAAATAAAAACACCTTGTAACTGCAGACAGGTGCAAGGGCAATTTGCAGCAGGTGTTGAGACATACAACTAAAGCAAATATCCTCCATTCTTCCCTCTGAAGCCCTTAAGGGTTTTCCAGCCTATATATATTTTTTTTAGTAAATCTTTTTTTTATTTTTATTTATTTATGATAGTCACACACACACACACAAAGAGAGAGAGAGAGAGAGGCAGAGACATAGACATGAAGCAGGCTCCATGCACCGGGAGCCCGAAGTGGGATTCGATCCCGGGTCTCCAGGATTGCGCCCTGGGCCAAAGGCAGGCGCTAAACCACTGCGCCACCCAGGGATCCCTCCAGCCTGCAAGCATTGGCTATAATCTCTTGAGAAACCTGGCAAATCTTCAAAGCCATCTGAAAACTTTAAAATGAGATCGGAATGAAAGTTAGTAATACAAAAGATTGAAAACCAGAATAAAATCAAATAAGGCAACTTCAGACCAAAGCTTTGCTCTCTTCTAAGAAATCATATATCTAGAAATAAGACTTTCCTTAAAAAAAAAAACTTTCCTAAAATAGAATTTTGGTTTAAAGAAATATTCAATCAGTTACTTTCCATAATGCTGAATCTCCAATGTACAAAGTCTGTAAACCTTACTTACCAGCTGTAAAGGCTTTACCACCAGATTAGGCTTCTTGCAAATCTTCTGTTCTGGCTCCCTATGGTTTTTAGGAAGACAATCCCATGCAGTCTCCTTGACAGCAGCAGTAGACAGTGAATTTCTAGGGGGACTGGAGACACAAGCTTTGACATCTATTTTCTTATCTGATTGAACTAAACATGAATTTCTGATTGATGAAACATCTCCATCTGAAATAATCAATAGAGTAGCCTGTGGATAGCTATTACAATAATTTGTGTAACTATTACTAAGGACATTCTATCAGCCAGGCACTGGGCAAATAAGGAGAGACATGAACCCATCTCTGCGGACCTTTCAGTATGGAGAAATAAAAGGAAGTTCTAGATGGGAACACATCTTAAATTATTTATGTTGGCAGGGAGAGGGTAAGTCTGGTAAGGATCCTTGAACTTTAACTAAAAGTTTCATTTTGGGGGCAGCCTGGGTGGCTCAGCGGTTTAGCGCAGTCTTCAGCCCAGGGCGTGATCCTGGGGACCCAGGATTGAGTCCCATGTCAGGCTCCCTGCATGGAGCCTGCTTCTCCCTCTGCCTATGTCTCTGCCTCTCTCTCATGAATAAATAAATAAAAATCTTAAAGAGCTTCATTTTTCAACATTCTTGTTCAACGTTAGCAGTGAATGTGCATTGCTGCTAAATGTACAATGTATTTGACTACTTAATATTCCACAATACAATGCCTTAATTTTTAGGGAATTATCAAATAAATCACATAATTTGTTCAAATCTCATGTGTATGATGATTGTAAGAGGCTGACATATTAAAACAGACCCCAGGGCAGCCTGGGTGGTTTATCGGTTTAACGCCGCCTTCAGCCTAGGGTGTGATCTTGGAGACCTGGGATCAAGTCCCGCGTCAGGCTCCCTGCATGGAGCCTGCTTCTCCCTCTGCTTGTGTCTCTGCCTGTCTCTCATGAATAAATAAATAAAATCTTTTATAAATAAATAAACTAAAACCATAGTGGCTCCTAAAGAAAAACTAATAAAAGTGCACAAAGATATAGGTACAAGGATATTTATCATTGTATCTTACATAGTAAAAAAAAAAAAATACACTCAACATGTCAATAGAAGACTAAGACTGATTCAGTGAATATAGTCACATAATAGAATTCTTTGTATTTAAGAAAGATGAAATAAACTTATGCTGATATAGACCATCCATAATATATGAAGTATAAAAACCAAGAGCTTACACAATATTTGTATGATACTATTATAATGCAAGAAAATTATACATATGATAGCTATGTTATATACAAGAGGTCCAAAAAAGACCCATTAAAACAATTCCTAGTTACCCTCTAAATTGTTGGAATGTTTAAACTAGTAATATTGCTTTTATAATTTTTGAAAAATCTAGCTATGCTTACATAAATGTTGAAAAGCTCTGGAAGACTATATAAAAATTCTAACAGCATTTTGGAGGAGGGGAGTAAAGTGATGGTAAATGTTTACTTCCAACTTTCCACTCATCTGTGGTATTTTTCAGAATAGTATTAAATACTCACTAAATGAGTATTTATGAGTATTAAATACTCATAAAATGAATATTATTTTAATATTCAGAAAAATCAGCAGGGTGCCTCGGTGGCACCCTGTTAAGCATCTGTCTTCCGCTCAGGTCATGATCCCAGGGTCTGAGATCAAGCTCCACATCGGGCTCCTGTGGGAGTCTGCTTCTCCCGCTCCTCCCTGTCTGTGCACTCTATTGCTATCTCTTTCACTATCTCTGTTTCTCTCTCTCTCTCTCTCTCTCTGTCTCCCTCTCTCAAATAGCTAAATAAAATCTTTTTTAAAAAATCAGCAAAGATGCATTTATCTTTTGGGAAAAAATTTGCTATCCATCAAAACCACCTGTAGAAGCTTATAAAAATACAAGTACAGTTGATCTGTAAACAATGCAGGGGTTAGCAACATCAACCCTCCCCCTATGCAATCAAAAATCTGCATGTAAAAAAAAAAATCTGCATGTAACTTTTGATTCCCCAAAAGCTTAGCTACCAATAGACTACTGATGACCAGAAGCCCTACTGATAACATAAGCAGTTGATTAACATATATTTTGTATGTCATATGTATTATATACTGTATTCTTCTAATAAAGCCAGAGAAAAAATTTTTTTAAATCCCAAGGAAGAGAAATTACATTTACAGTACTATACTGATCTTAACAAAAATAATCCATATGTAAGTGGAACTATCCAATTCAAACCCATGTTGTTCAAGGGTCAACTATACCATATCAGGGCAGCCCCAGTGGTGCAGCAGTTTAGTGCCGCCTGCAGCCCAGGGTGTGATCCTGGAGACCCAGATTCGAGTCCCACATCGGGCTCCTTGCATGGAGCCTGCTTCTCCCTCTGCCTGCCTCTGTGTGTGTGTGTGTGTGTCTCATGAATAAATAAATAAAATCTTTAAAAAAATTTCAAAAAAAACTATACCTTATCATACTATAATTTAGCATGACCCCTGAGTCAACAGAGGAAAAAGTACATGGAATGTCTCTGTATTAGTTCTTAATAACTGTATATAAATCTACAATACTCTCAAAAATTTCAAAAGAAAAAAAACTGAAGTCTGAAGAAAAACACAAAAAACAAAATCAAGTATCCTAAATGCAATGTGGTATTCTAGAGTGGATCTAGAAACAGAACAATTGTGGGAAAACTGGCAAAACCAAAATAAAATCTAGAGTTTAATTAATAGCAATGTACTACAATTAATTTCTTAGTTTTGATAAATGTAACATGGGAACATAAGATGTTACTATTAGAGGAAATGGATGAAGGACATTCTAGGGAATGGGAAAGGAATTCTATAATATCTCTGTAGCTTTTCTGTAAATCTAAAATTATCCAAAAATAAAAAGTTTGTTTAAAAATAAGTATAGGGATGCCTGGGTGGCTCAGCGGTTGGGCACTTCCCTTCGGCCTGGGGCATGGTCCTGGGGTCTGGGATCAAGTCCCGTGTCGGGCTACCTACATGGAGCCTGCTTCTCCCTCTGCCTGTGTCTCTGCCTGCCTCTCTCTCATGAATAAATATTTTTAAAAAATAAAATAAAAATAAGTACAGGTGCTAGGTCCCAACGCACACCCATTTATTTCAAATATCCATGTATTTCTAAAAAGCTTTTGAAGCACATCCAAAGTTAACAACTACTGATCTGGTGCTTCTCTATCAGATCGCTATTTTAGAAAACTGATTTCTTCAGTTACCCAAGAATCTGGATAATGAAATATATTTTTAAAAATTCAGATGATCTATGAGTCACCTGTGTGGCTCAGTCAGTTAAACTTGGCTTTCGGTCAGGTCATGGTCTCAGGGTTGTGGGATCAAGTCCAATGTCAGGCTCAGCAGGGAGTCTAGTCTGCTCCCTCTCTCCCTTTGCCCCACCTCCCACAGGTACACGCCCTCTCTCCTTCTCTCACTCTCTTTCTCAAATAAATAATTTTTAAAATTCAGATGGTCTTCATTAATGATATAGGTTACCCTTATGGCCAACAAATGCTACCAAAAAGGTATACAAATACAGAAGTGTTTTCAAGGTTAAAAACCATATGGTCATTTCAAAAGATTCAGAAAAAACTTTTGACAAAATTCAACATCTGTTCATGATAAACTCAAGAAAGTGGATACAGAGGGAACATAATATGATAAAGGCCATACATGACAAACACACAGCTAACATCATACTCAGTGAAAAACAAAGCTTTTCCTCTCTAGAACAAGACAAAGATGTCCATTATTGCCATTTTTATGCAATACAATCAGCTAGCTACAGCAATCAGAAAATAAATAAATAAAAAGTATCCAAATTGGTAAGGAAGAAATGAAACTGTCACTATGTGCAGATGACATGATACTATATACAGGAAGGACATCTTAAAAATTCCACCAAAAACCTATTAGGACTAATAAATGAATTCACTAAATGGATGGATACAAAATCAATATACAGAAGTCTGTTGCATTTCTGTACACTAATGTATGTGTACTTCAGATGTACTTCATCTGTACTTCAGATGAAGTATCTGAAAGAGAGAAATTAGGAAAACAATCCCACTTATAATTGCACCAAAAAGAACAAAAACTCCTAGGAATAAATTTAACAAAGTGAAAGACCTATACTCTGAAAACTATAAAAGATCAATGAAAGAAATTAAAGATGACACAAATTAAAAGATACACCATGCTCATGGATTAGAAGAACCAATATTGTTAAAATGTTGACACTACCCAAAAAATGTACGGATTCAATCCAATTCCTATCAAAATACCAATAGTATTTTTTAAAGATTTATTTATTTGAGGAGTGGAAAGTGGGAGAGAGAGAGAGAACGGGCCAGAGGGAGAGGGAGAAAGAGAACCCCAAGCAGACTCCCCGCTGAGTGTGGAGCCGTACACAGGGCTCGATCTCACAACCCTGAAATCACGACCTGAGCCAAAACCAACAGCTGGATGCTCAACCAAATGTGCCACCCAGATGCCCCAATACCAACAGTATTTTTCATAGAACTAAATAACCCTAAAATTTATGAGGAACCACAAAAGATCCTGAATAGCCAAAGCAATCTCAAAAAAGAACAAAGCCAGAGGTATCACAATCCCAGATTTCAAGACATTCTACAAAGCGATGGTAATCAAAACAGTATGGTACTGGCACAAAAACAGACACACAGACCAATAGAACAGAAAGCCCAGATAAACCCATGCTTATATGTTCAATTAATGACAAAGGAGACAAGAATATACAACAGGGAAAAGACAGTCTCTTCAATAAACTGGACTATTTATACCATGCACAAAAGTAAATTCAAAATAGATTAAAGATCTGTGAAACCTGAAACCATAAAGGTCCTAAAAGAAAACACAGGCAGTAATCTCTTGGACATCAGCCTTTCCAACATTTTTCTAGATGTGTCTCCTTCAGCAAGGGAAATGAAAGCACAAATAAACTACTGGGGCTACATCAAACTAAAAAGCTTTTGTACAACAAAGGAAACCAAAATGTAAAGGTAACATACTGAATGGAAGAATATATTTGCAAATGACAAGTCCAATAAGGGGTTCGTATCCAAAATATATCAAGAACTTCTGCAACTCAATACCAAATAAAGCAATCCAAATAAAAATGGGCAGAAAATCTGAAGACATTTTTTGAAAGAAGACATACAGTTGACCAAGAGACACATAAAAGAAACTGAACATTGTTAATCATCAGGGAAATGCAAAATCAAAATCACAGTGAGACATCAACTTATACCTATCAGAATGGCTAGTATCAGGACAAGAAATACACAAGCATGGCAGGATGTAGAGAAAAGGGAATCTTTGTGCACTGTTGGTATGAATGTAAATTAGTGCAACCACTGTGGAAAACACTGCAACGTTTCCTTAAAAAATCATTAAAAATAAAAATGACATGTGATCCAGTAATTCCTACTGGGTATTTACCCAAAGAATATGAAAACACTAACTCAAAAAGATATATGGACTCCTATGCTTACTGCAGTATTCTTTACAATAGTCAAGTTATGGAAGCAACCTAAGTGTCTATCCACAGATAAAGTCCTAGTATATATACAATGGATTATTACTCAGCTATAAAAAGAAACTAAATCTTGCCATCTGTGACAACATGGATAAATCTAGAGGATATTATGCTAACTAAAATAAGACAGAGTAAGACACCATATGATTTCACTTCTAGATGGAATCTAAAAAAACAAAACAAATAAAATGGAAAACAATTATAAATACAAAGAACTGGTAGTTGTCAGGGGAGGGTAGTGGGGGGATGGGCAAAATAGGTGTAGAGTATTAAGAGGTACAAACCTCCAGTTATAAAATAAGTTACAGGGCACCTGGGTGGCTCAGTCAGTTAAGTATCTGCCTTCGGCTCAGGTCATGATCCTAGGATCCTGGAATGGAGCCTCATGTTGGGCTCCCTGCTCAGCAGGGAATCTACTTCTCCCTCTCCCTCTGCCCCTCCCATTGCTCCTGCTCTCTCTCTCTCTCTCTCTCTCTCTCTCTCTCGTTCTCTCTCAAATTAAAATATTTTTTAAAAAATAATAAAAACAAATAAGTTACAGGGGTGGAAAATACAGCAAGGGAATACAGTCAATAATATTGTAATAGCATTATATGGGGACAGTAACTACACTTACCATGATGAGAACAGCATAATGTATGGAACTGTCAAATCATTATGTTGTACATCTGAAATTCACGTAATTGTATGTCAACTATACTTCACTTTTTTTAAAAAAAAAAATCAGGTTTGCATCATATTGTGATTCAACTCACCAGATGCTAGTGGCTTCATATTAGCATCAAAAACCAGTAAGTCTTGTTCTCCTTCCCTGAACTCAACACGAAGAATGTCGCTAAGAGCTCCAACAAGTTCTGTCACATTTAAGAAACCCAATTGTTTTGGTGAAAGTTGCTCTTTAAACATTATCTGTCACACATGCACAAAGAAAACCAGAAATAACATTTAAAAACATTAGATAAAAGGAATATAACATATACAGATGCCCTTAGACAATGTCTTGATTTAGACTTAGTCAAACTAAATTTGTAAGGGTCAGCAAACTCATCTATTACAGTAATACAAACTGAGAAACCTACAATCCTTCACCATAAAACTTCCAGGCCAGTTTCAAATTCCTTTTAAAGTACATAGTAAACTGAAGTGAAAATTAAGCTGCCTTTTTACCTCTCATTTTTAATAATTCTTGATTATAAAGCAAAAGTCTTTTTAAAAAATGAATGCACAAAAACCGAGTCATATTAAAATTTGATTTTCTCTATTTTCAGAGGAAGTATTCACTACCACTTTCAATATATAATAAAGTAATACTAATTTAAAACATTTCCTTAAAATTTTATGATTTCATCCTAGAAGTTGAGCTTAATAAGCAGGTGTCATTGTATCTCCTACAGCACTGTTTGATTTTCTTGCCTTGGAAAAGAAGAAAAATTATACCAAAAATAAAAATATATATATGTATGGAATATATACAAAATATGTTTGAACTGTGAAGTGAATTGGAAGTTTGCCCTTGTAAGACCTCCCATTAAAATGTTCAAGTTCTTAAACTTTTGTCTCCCTAACCAAGCTAAAGCAGTTGAGCTAATCATAATTCTTTTTCTGTTCCTCTAGCTAGCATAGGAAATAAACTCTTGCTCTGACTTAATCATCTTGGAGACATTGACAGAACACTGAAGGCCAACACTCTAGAAGAACTAACTCCCAACAGAGGATGAGACTGCTGTATACCTTCTTGTTCACAGACACTATGACACTCAACTTATGACTTTCTCCCAAGAAAAACAGGGACCCAGCACTAGCCAAGTCATGGTTTTAAAGGTCATTAATACCACATCTACAGCGAATTATGAGTATCCTAAGAAAGGTTTAATAGAAGAAAGGGGAAGGGTGATGGTGAATGAAACTTGTATCTCTATTTTGCACATTACATATTATGACTTATTTTCATTTTATGTTTATTAGTCTCTTCAATGGTTTCTTTATCGTCTCTGTAAGTGTCTAGTACCATGAATATGCAAGTCAAACACAAAACTAGGTTGGGATGGATTTTATTAACTTTTTAATACAAGATATTTAGGAGTTTCAAAAAAGTATACAGCAAAACCTAAGTCTCTGACCCACTCCTAACCCTTAGTGGTCCAGAAGAGCATGTCCCTGGAGGGGACATGAGAGTTTACTATCATTTGTGCTTTGTCATATTAATCACTCACATACTTGCATCTGCAAAATGTTCAGATCTTTTTGCAATTTGTTTTAATGGAGTTGTCTGGCTTTCTATAATGGAGCTACAGAAGGTGCTTTACATATTCTAGATTTGTCTTTTTTTAGATGTGCAGTTGTAAATATTTCTTCCCAGTTTATGATCTACTTATTAGTTTTCTTTAAAGATTTTTTTAAAGGGATCCCCCGCCTATTAGTTTTTAAGGCTCCTAAACAGAATTTTAATAAAGTCTCATTATCAATTTTCTTTTAAACAATTATTGCTTTCCATGTCCTAAGAAAGTCTTATCTATTCCCAGATCGTGAACATGTGTTTTCTTCTAGATGCTCTAATTTTTAACTTTTTCATTTGGGTCTGTGATACAACTCCAATTAACTGATGTACATGGTATGATGTTGGGGTTGAGTTCATTTCTTTCCTTTATGGATATCTAGTTGTCTCAGCATCATTTGCTGAACAGATTTCCCTCTCCCCCATTTAATTCCTTTGGCATCTCTCAAAAATCACTTGAGTGCACTGCAAGGATCTCTTCATGTATGCTCCTCTATGATAAATTCATGAATTTTTCAATATTTACAAATAGCCTGCAGGAATTATGAGGACAAATGTAATGAGTCTAGAGCATATTTACAATATTTAGACTTCTCACCCATGAGTATGCTATAGCTAAGTCCTCTTGCATTTATTTCTCTCAGTAGTTTTCAGGACAGATGTCTTATGTTTCTTTTTCATCTTATTTTCTAGTTATTTAAGTTGACACTATTGTAAATAGACATTTCCAAATTTCATTTTCCAACTGTTTTCTGCTTTTATATGGAAAAGTAATAGGTTTTCAAATATTAACCTGTATCTTTGGTCTTGTAAATTCACTTGCTAGTTTCATTAGCTTTTTCACAGATTCCTTAATAAATTCTACATAGACAATCATGCTTTCTGCAAACACAGTTTTACCTCTCCTTTCAGGTTCAATCTGTGTCTTTTAAGGAATTTATCCATTTCATCTAAGTTGTCAAATGACTGGAACATTTGTTTGATATTCCCTTTTTGACATTTTAGTATCTATAGGATCTATAATGACAAAAATCTTTCTTTCATGATACTGCAATTTGTGTCCAAGTATCCACTGGTTCGTCAATTTTGGTGAACTTTCAAAGAAACATTTGGCTTTAATTTTCTCTTAATTGCTAATTTATTGATTTCTATCCCTAGCTTTATCATTTTATTCCTTCTACTTATTTTGGGTTTACTTTGCTCTTCTTTTTCTAGCCTGTATAAGGTAACTCTTGGTCAATGATGATTTTTTTAAAATCTTTCTTCTTTTCTAATTTAGGCATTTCAGAGCTATAAATTTTCCTGTGAGGACTGCTTTGGCTGCATTTCACAGATTTTGGTATATTGTACTTTCATCAAAATTTAGTTGGAAATATTTTCTAATTTCCCCAATAATTATTTAGCAAAATATTTTAATTTCCAAATTATCTGAAAATTCTTAAATAATTTGATTTATAATTTAATTCCTTCTTAATCAGAAAAAAATACTCTAAGATTTCAATATTCTGAAATTTGTCAAGACTTAATACTATAGCCAACTATATGCTGTATGTTGGCAAATGTCCCACATTTACTTGAACAGAAAGTGTATTCTGCAGCTGTTGAGTCTAGTGTTCTATAAAATAGATCAAGATGGTAGAGAGGGTGGTTCAGATTTTCTATGTCCTTACTCACTTTTTTTACTATCATATAAATTGCTGGAAAAAGAAAATCTGTTTGTGGAATTCATTCCTTTGTCAATTTTTAGATAATTTATTTTAAAATATTAGGTAAATATATATTTGACTTGTGTCTTAAGGTCCTTTATCCTTATGAAATGGCCCTCTGAATATACACTTTGAACTCTGCTTTATCTGATTTTATAAATCGACTCAGTTCTTTTATGCTTATTACTTCATGTACTTACTTCATGTCTTATTCATCTTTTACTTTCAGTCTCTGTCTTTATATTTACAGTGCATTTCTTGTTCATGGCAGCTAGTTGCATCTTGCCTTTTCATCCTGTATCAAAATTTCATTAATTCTGCTATTTAATCCACTTACATTTATGAAATAAATATAACTGGATTTGTGGCTACCATTTTGCTAAAATTTTTTTGCTATATATTTTTGTGGAGCTCAAACTCACAACCCTAAGATCAAGACCTGAGTTGAGATAAAGAGTCAGACACTTAACTGAACCACCCAAGCACCCCACCATTTTTCTATTTAACACCTTTTTTTAAAAAAAAATATTTATTCATGAGAGACAGAGAGAGAGAGAGGTAGAGACACAGGCAGAGGAAGAAGCAGGCTCCATGCAGGAAGCCTGACGTGGGACTTGATCCCAGGACTCCAGGATCATACCCTGGGCCAAAGGCACACACTAAACCACTGAGCCACCCAGGGATTCCCTATCTAACACCTTTTGATCCCATCTGTATTGTTTCTCTTAAACTTTGTTCCTTCATTCTTCATTGTCTTTCAAGCAAGACAGTTGAACAGTAAACCCTATCTTCCTTTGGGTTTACTGAACATTTTTATATAATTCTATTTTAATTTATCTGCTGACTTTATACCTGCAACTCTGCATTTTTATGGCTGTTTTATACATCATTAACTTTTCAGTATTACTGTAATACCTCACATAAAATATAAAGACTTTGCAACCTATAGGCTCCATATACTCCACTCATTATGCTATGATTTTCATGTAAATTACATCTACATCATTGACATGATACAAACTCAATTATACATGTTATAATTTTTGCTTTAAGTAGTCATATATTTGATAGAAAAAGTCTTTTACATATACCCATTTACCATTTCCTGCGCTCTTCAAGTCTTCCTGCAGATTTGAGTACAAAACTAGTATCATTTTATTCAGCCTGAAGAATGTTCTTTAGAATTTTACATTAGGGGATCCCTGGGTGGCGCAGCGGTTTGGCGCCTGCCTTTGGCCCAGGGCGCGATCCTGGAGACCCGGGATTGAATCCCACGTCGGGCTTCCGGTGCATGGAGCCTGCTTCTCCCTCTGCCTGTGTCTCTGCCTCTCTCTCTCTCTCTCTCTCTCTCTGTGACTATCATAAATAAATAAAAATTTAAAAAATATATATTTAAAAAAAAAAGAATTTTACATTAAGCTGCTATTAATTTGCAGTTTTTTTATCATTTGAAAATGTCTTTATTTTACTTTTATTTTCAAAAGATACTATCACTAGATATAAAATTTGGCCTAATATTATTATTTTTCCTTTGAGTACTTTAATAATATCCTTCTACTGTCATCTAGTCATAATTGTCTCTAGTGAGAAATCAGCCATCACTTGTATCAGTGTTCTTCTCTACGTATTTCTCTGGCAGCTTTCTGGGTTTTCCCTGAAAATCATTTTCCTCTGGCTGCTTTCAGAATTTTCTAATTATATTTGGTTTTCTACAGAATGACTATGATGTGCCATGTAAGGTTCTCTTTGTACTCCTTGTGTGGGGATACTTAGGTTTCTTAAATCTGTAAACTTCTTTCACAAAATCTGGAATATTTCTAGCCATTTTTAAAAATATCTTCCTATCTTCTCTCCTCACTTTCTTTCTCTCCTCACCAATTACACATATGTTAGATCACTTGGTATTGTCTCACCAGTCTCTCAAACTGTTTTTTATCTTTATTTTCTCTGTTCTTCAGATTGAATCATTTTTATTGATCCATCTTCAAGTTCACTGGTGCTTTCTTCTGTCAGTTCCAATTTGTTAAGATACTATGGTGAATTTTTTTCTAGAAAGTCATTTGGTTTTTATAGTTTTTCTCCACTAAGACAGGTTATCTGTTCTTTCAGTATGAACACATATTCCTTTATATCCTTTAACAGGACTTTTGCTAACTTCAACATCACCAATATTTCTAACAATTACTTTTTCTTTTCATCAAAGATATTTTGTTTAATATATCTAGTAATTTGCTTTGTATCCTGGACATCATGTCATCAAGACTCTGGAATTGTTCATATTCCTTTTAGGACTATTGTTTTTTGCTTTGGTTTAGCAGGGAATTAATTTGACTGAACTTAATTCTGCCTCTCTGTAATAATCAACAGCTAAAATATATTCCGTTCTTTTAGCCTTACTAGGCTACTTCAAGCATGCTGCAACCATGTGCAGTTCAACTGTCAACCAGAGATTTGGGCAGAATTTATGTGTAGAATTTGCTGCTCCTTCTCCATAGCTCTCTCTCCATCCTAAAATTTTTCCCCTCATTTTTCAGTTGCTTCCATAGTTCTAAATACTATCCTTTGGTTCTTCAAACCAGTAAAAATTTCTGATTTTTGCTCAAGTCCAAAACTCCAAATGGATGGGGCCTGCCAGCAGGTCAAAATCCAGGCCTAAAAGGTACTATTCCCTCCTTCCAGGTGCTGAATCCTGTCCGGTTTCTGCATACATTTACATATTGATCTAGGGCCTTCAGACAGTGGTTTTTAATACTATATCTGGAATTGATAATACTTATCTTCAATACTGTTCCAATATAAGCTACTCAGATATAATACATCCTAATTTATTTGTATGCCTGAGTTTCTCACTAGATTTCAAAAAAACCTTACAGACAGGGATGTTTCAGACCTAGATCCCCAATGCCTCCTTCACTTCCTTTTGATTTTCAAAATGTTCCTCATATTTACCTTTTTTTTTTTTTTGAAGGCATTATCTGTTGTATTTTTTGTTCTTGTCATCCTTTGTAGTTTAGTTTTCATTTTGGAAATGATTTTTTTCTTTTGTTTCTAATTCTGTCCAGTCTATTATCACCTTATTTCCAATTTATGTTATTTCAGATATAAGTTGTTATTTCATGTTTTGTATCACTTTCTTAATATATCTCTTTGAAAAAGTAGGCTTCAGTTTTGATCTGTATTAGGGACATGTATTTCTGACATGCTTTGATGATCTATAAATTTATTATTATTCTTTTTTTTCTTAACACAATGAAAAAGTTTGGCCCTGATCCTCTTTGTTGCATATTTTATGTGCAACTCATTTTCCTAATTTGTAGAATATCATTCTGGATGGCTTTTCTGCATCAGACCTCCTTCTACTATTTTCATATATTGTTAAAAAATATATATAGTACAGCCTTAGGACAGTCATGGTAGAAGTTCCTCAAAAAATTAAAAGTAGGGATGCCTAGGTGGCTCAGTGGTTGAGCATCTGCCTTCGGCTCAGGGCATGATCCCAGAGTCCTGGGATCAGTCCCACATCAGGCTCCCCATAGGGACTCTGCTTCTCCCTCTGCCTATGTCTCTGCCTCTGTGTCTCTCATGAATAAATAAAATCTTTACAAAAATAAAAATAGAAATACCATATGATACAGCAATTCCACTATTAGGTATTTACCAAAAGAAAATGAAACCACGAATTTATTTATGTACCCCTACTTTTATTGCCACATTACTTACAAGATATGTAACCAACCCAAGTGCCCATCAGTAATGGATGGACTAATGGATAAGGAAGATGTGGTAACACACACACACAAACACACAGGAATACTATGCAGCTATAAAAAAAATATGGGATCTTGCCATCTGCAACAACATGGACAGACTTAGAGGGTATTATGCTAAGTGGGTAATCAGACTGAGAAAGACAAATACCACGCAACTTCACTCATATGTGGAATCTAAAAAAAAAGAAGGAAAAATGAATAAACGAACCAAAAGCAGAATCAGATTTATAAACACAGAGAACAAATTGATGGTTGCCAGTGGGGAGAGGATGGACGATGGGTGAAGGGGAGTGGGAGATACAAGCTTCCAGTTATGGAATGAATAAGTCATAGGAATAAAGGCACAGCATAAGGAATATAGTCAATGATATTGTAATAGCATTGTATGGTGACAGATGGTAGCTACACTTGTGAAAACAGCATCATATTTAAACATGTCAAGTTGCTATGGAGTATACCTAAAATTAATGTAACATTGTTTACTCAAATTTTAAAATTAATAAAAATATATATTATAGTAGCTTGTTTTTGAAACGTCCTGGCTCTCTTCCCTTAATTCTACTTGTATCTGGACCCTTCTTTTTCTATGGTCCTTGTCCTGCTCAATTTTTCCTTCATGTCTGGTCCTATCTAGAAGGGAGCTCTAGCCTGTCCATTTCAAGAATTCACAGGGGCTATAATGCTCCGGCCTGATTCAAGCCTTTCCATGAAACATTCTCTATTAGATATATAAAAATATTATCCAGTTTCAGCTGTTGTTTTCAGAATGGCTTGCTGTTCTGTCTAGTGAATTATCTGATAGCTATTTTGTCATTTTTGTTCCCAGATCCATCAGAAATTGGCTCCCTTGCTTCCCTCTGTTTTTTCCTGACACAAACACTGGTTACATGAGGGAGGACCTTGTGGCTGCTGGTAATTATTCCCCACACAAGAAAATATATTACCCAATTTTGTTGTAGATATTATCAGCCAATTTTTGATTTTGCTATCTAGTTTCTCTGTCTTTATGTAAGGTCTCAGTAAAGCCAAAAAACTATGCTGCCACTGCACTATCTTCCCTTTAATTAGCAATATGACAAGGCATCTTGACAAAATGACAGATTCTTGTCCAGGTATTTCAAGAGGGCAAATCATACAGGTAGCTTTATACCACACTGGATAAATAAAAGGTTAAGCAAGTGTTTTAATAAGTTAGAATAAAAGTTGAATCTATACTTATTATATGTTTCCAATCATGAAGTTGAATTCCTGCCTAAGTCTGTTTACTAAGAAAAGCAAAAAGCTTTCCTGTAATATTAAAAGGTTTTAATTTCTCCAAGATTGCAGAATTGTAACCTTAACACCATGAACTACATTGGACTGTGGTATAAAACTATTCACTTTGAGTTGTGAACCTAGCATAAGAGATTTATCTTACCCATAAATTTTGTGGTAACTAAGTCATATTCTATTACGCAGACTTTATTCTGGAATTTCATTATTAGGTAAGTTAACCAGCTGGTTAATCAAAAGAATATCAAAACCCCTTGTTTTGAGTCTATGTGAAATATATTTGTGGCACTGAAAGATTCTTTAAAAAAAAAAAGTGAACATCAGCTTACTCTGTCCCTATCCAAGGGACCATATGATGCCTTCTTCCAGTCTTTCTTCTAAAAATTAATATTTATTGAACAATTACTATGTGACAGGCACTGTTTTAAGTATTTCCTTTTTAAGTCATTAAAACCTCACAAAACTCTCTAAGTAATACTATCCTAACTTTATATATCATTTATAAACTAGCACATAGAAGTTAATGTATCTTAACCATTATGCTGTTGTATCTCACAATATCTGTGTTTGTATCTGCAACTGTATGACAGTTCTCATGGCACAGAAGATTTAAGATTCTGAAGCCAGACTGCCCAGGGTTCAAATCCTGACTCTACCCTTTACTGACTATCTGACCTTTAGGCAAGTTACTTCTCTGTGCCTTAGTTTGTTGTGAAAATCAAATGATTTACATTATGAAAGACATTCAGAACAGAGCCTACCACAGAGCTAACACATACATAGGTCTTACTATTTTTAAAAAACTGGATATACGATAGTGTCTAAATTACCATTCTATAACTTGACTTTTTTTTATTTTTTTTTACAACTTGATTTTTTCACTAAACAGATGATGATCCATGTTGCAGAATAAATCTAGTTCATTTATCTACTATGTATTATTCTACCACATAAACGTCAACCTCAATTTATTTATCCACTCTATTACTGACAGTCATTAAATCTGTTTCCAGTTTTTTTCTATGCTGCCAGGGGTACATGTCTTATGCAGATCTCCCTGTGCACATGTGTAAGAATTGCTCTAAAGTATACACATAGAAGTGGAAATGCTGGACCACTGGGTGTGCTTATCTTCAGCTCTACTTGATACTGCCAAAATGCTCTCCAAAGGAGTTTTGTCCCACAAGCAGTGGATGACATACTGTTTCTCCACACTCCCGGTAACATTTGGTATTGTCAGACCTTAAAAATAAATTAACTTTTATTCTAACAATATTAACATTAAGTGGTAAAGATATCCTTCCTATGTATAATGAAGCACTTATAAAGGACCATATTCTTAACTCTTTTAGTAAAGAAAATGATACAAAATGCAAAACAAAATGTTGAAGTTCTAGAGCACAGACTTGGAGGATCCAAGGAATACCAACAAAATTTCTATCCATCAAAGAAGCAGAAGGTATAAAACCATGACTGATGAAAAAGAAAATACTCACCTCAAATTCTCTGAGTAGTTTAGAAATAAGCAAACCCTCTGGAAACTTGGATACAACCTAATAAAAAATAAAATATACTATAAATAGACATCATTAGGATGCTGGCTAATATCAAAATAAAACAGTATAAACTTAAATGTAACAATGTTAAAAAAATATTACCAAGTGAATGAATTAAAAGTCACAATGTTTTTTTAGATCAAGTTTCCAGTTTTAAAAAAGGATGTAACAAAAAAAGGCAATGACTTCCAACATTTCCAGAGTTGAGGAATCATTCTTGCACAATATTACAATGCCACAGTTCTCCAGAAATTCCTACAATTCTTTAATATATTTAACTTTATATCACAGAAATATCCTATGGCATAATTTCAAGTATTTTAAAGATTTTTAAGTAATCTCTACACTCAATGTGGGGGTGAACTCAGAACCCCAAGATTAAGAGTCACGTGTTCTATTGACTGAGCCAGCCAGGCCCTCCTCAAGCATTTTAAATGGTAGAAAAGAAATAAAATGGATACTATAGAAAACTTTGCAAAATACAGTTAAGCAAAGGAAAACTTATCATGTAATTGTCGCCCATGTGCACATAAAAATACCTATATTTAATATAAAAATAAGGCCTTCATTTTTTTTTAAGGTCATTGTTTCTATCCTAAGTTTTTTTATTATGCCATAAACAACTTTGTATGTCAATAAATATGGATCAACAAGTTTACTGGCTATAGAGTTTTCAAATTATTTGATATATTTAAATCAAATATATCAAGGATGTACTTGATCCTCTATTTGTGGCTGTGCCCTGTGTTTTATTTTTTTTTTGCCCTGTGTTTTATCATTACAAATATAATTATTTTCATATTTGCATTTTGCACACTTGTCCAATTATCTGTTAGGAAAAGTTCCTAAAAGCAGAATTATTCTATCCCAATAAAGTATAAAAAGATTTTCACTGTCCTAGATTTTTCCAAATGCTACGTTTCATTAAAAAGTCTAAATCAAAAAAAAATTTAAAAAAAGTCTAAATCAAGCTTCAGAAAAGTATAAAAATGATTCCAATATCCTGTGACCAGAGATAGCTGTTGCTGCTCTTCATAAATCATCCTTTCAGAAACCTCTTTATGTAGACACACATTATATATGATTTTACATGAAAGGACAATACTAAACATGCTATTATATAAAACCTGTTCTTCAAGTCCAAAATAAGTCAAGGAGATACTTCCAAGTAAATTGAGATAAACATAAACTTTCTTATGAGCTGCATGATTCTACCTAGTTTGGGTAGTTAATTTAACCAATCCTTTACCAATGAATGCTTAATTTTTCTTTAACTTTTTGTTACCATAAAAAAAAATCATACTGAATATCCTTAAATAATCATTGGATACACGGTCAAATGTCCAAACAGAAAAATAAGGTTTGAATGTTTGAATGTACTATGGTTTTTGAATTTCTCCCAGTAAAACTACAACATCTGAAATGGAGTAATATAAAGTGGTAAGAGTAATAGTAGCACTCTGATCATTCAAATAAGAGGATCTCCCACCAAAATTTTAAGCATACACACCTGTTAGCCCGATACATTAACAGCCAAAGAGCTTTCACAAATTAACAAGGGAAAACAAGATATTAGGCCAAAGACATGAACAGGCAATTCATGTAAGAAATATAAATGGGGGATGCCTGGATGGCTCAGTGGTTGAGTATCTGTCTTTAGCCCAGGGCACGGATCCCAGGGTTCTGGGATCGAGTCCCACATTCCCTGTGAGGAGCCTGCGTCTCCCTCTGCCTAGGTCTCTGGCCTCTCTGTCTCTCATAAATAAATAAATGAAATCTTTAAAAAGAAAAACAAATATAAATGGTTACTAAGCATATGAAAAGATGCTCAATGTAAAAATCAAGAGGTGTAAATTACATTATTACACAGCAACATTTCACCATTAGTGGGAGTTTAAATTTGTTCAAGCCTTTTAGAGGGCAATTTTTTTTTAATTTTTATTTATGATAGTCACACAGGGAGAGAGAGAGAGAAGCAGAGACACAGGCAGAGGGAGAAGCAGGCTCCATGCACCGGGAGCCCGACGTGGGATTCGATCCCGGGTCTCCAGGATCGCGCCCTGGGCCAAAGGCAGGCGCCAAACCGCTGCGCCACCCAGGGATCCCCTAGAGGGCAATTTAGTATTAAAGACCAAAACTAAATTATTCAGTGCCTTTGGCAAGTCCACTTTTACATACATGTTCAAGGACATTAACCGTAGCATTTTTTAATAGCCAAAGCTAGAAACAACCCCAATGTAATCAATCACAGATCTCATAAATGAAAGAGCTTTGGCAGAGTGGAATGCCATGTAATGTTTACAATAATATTTGACATACATATATATGAAACTGATAATGGAAAAATCTTGAATTGTTTGCTAACGATGATTTATTGGGGTAAAGGGAAGAAAAAAGAAAGACAGCATTTATGGAAGAATTCCATTTTCTAAATAATTTTGAGAACATTAAAAATTATTAGAAGGGTGTAATTTTTTTTCTGATATTAAAAGAATGGCCACTCCATTTGCAATATATTTGGAAAGATCAGGTTTAAGTATAAAATACATACTTATAGGCAAAGTAAATTTAACCACAAATGAGATCTAAATGATCATTCCTGTTCATTTCCCAGAAACAGAAAATACTTACAAATCTTAATTTATGTTTTAGTTCTGGATTAATAGTCCCTCCGGGTCCAATTTGTGAAATAACGGATTTGAATGTGTTCTCCAACTATGAAAGAAGAAAAAAAAGTTCAAGTTATAATCCATAAAGAAAAAGATCAAAGATAAATCTGAGTATGTATGTAAAAGGAAACATCTACCACAGGAAACGTATTTCAATCAAATGGGTAAAATATTGTTCTTAAGAGGCACTGTAACATCTCATACCATATAAAATACATTTAGAGTAGATGGAATCTATAAAACTAAACACTCTGCAATTTTCCAGATAACTAACATTCTCTGAAACAATGAGATTCTATTGAAACTCAATTTTTCAATCTCTAATTCTTACCCAGAAAGGACTTTTGTTACTAATTTTCTTCTGCTTATAAAAATTCAATGTGTGTTAAATACATGCTTAGTGAATGCCAAGTACAAGCAAGGGACTGGATGGTGGAAGGTCCTGGGAAGCAGAAAAGAATGTGAGCCAGGGCAGGACAGAAAAGTTCTCTGTTGTAACAAGAAAGAAGGGAGAAAGAAGAAGGAGGGATGCAGGACGTGAGATCAGAAGGTGGAGTGACTACCTGATGGTTTCAATATTCTGAGTTCAGCAGCAAGGCCCCCTCCTAAAAGTTAGTGGGAAAGGGGAGAGATTTCGGGCAGGTGAGAAGTAGAAAAACAGAGGTGAGGAAATGATGGAAGAGTATCCAAATGTAACAGGCAGGGAGTAAAGACAGGAGAGGCCTGAGCTAAGACAACAGGGGTCTAAAGATTTGAGTTGAGACAAGCCAATGGCATAGAGGCCCAATAAGGGAGCAGATGAGGAACATGAATATTTGGAGAAATAAGCTGGAAGCACAGGTATTTATGGTTCGAGAAGCACAGAGCAGAGGCAGACAGCCCATGCCCAGAGAACTGCCATGGTACAGCAGGTCTAAACTGAATGAAAGACCACAGAGTTATGTTTAAAGACAGTAAGTAGGTAAGAAAAACAGATGTTAGAAAAGACACAAAGGTATAAAGGAAAACACACATTACCTAAAATCCTATCACATAGACAGAATCATTAATATTTTTTCCTTCTAAACTTTGTATTTTTTTAAATCTCTCTTCCGGTTGTCACTTGGTCTGTCATTATGTACAGACTGTATAACCTCTTAGGTCTCAGTTTCTTTATCTGGAAAATGAAGACAATTTCAATATTTTGTAAGAGTGACACGAAAAGGAGATGAGGAGGGGGATATTAGATTCTTAGGATTATATCACTAACTTTCACAAAAAGCCTCAGCCCTGGGGCTGATGTTCTTCATACTCCTCCTGCATCTGCCATGAGAGAGCTTGCCAAGCTCTCTCAGTGAACAGTAAGAGATTCTTCATATCCCATGCTCGCCTCAGGAGAGGGGTCAATACAACAACTCCTGGGAATTTCACTGTGCTATGTGTTTCAGGGGACCCCCCCCCCAGAAAAAAATGGTCACCTCAGTGTCATACCTCTCACGCCACTGAAGTAGGGAATTGAGATAAATGAATAAACTGCAGGGATACCTGGATGGCTCAGCGGTTGAGCCGCTGCCTTCTGCTCAGGAGTCCCACATCAGGCTCCCTGTGAACAGCCTGCTTCTCCCTCTATGTCTCTGCCTCTTTGTCTCTCATGAATAAATAAAAATCTTTTTTAAAAAATGCATAAATTGCTATAACCTACGGCTGACTCTGAGCATCACTGAAGAGAAACAGGACCTATTATTATCTCACTTCAGATGACACTGAGGATCAATGAAGTACAGAAGGACCTATTATCACATTAGGTTATAAATACAGGGAAGGGCCCTGAAGGGTGGTGGAGAAGACAGTGAAGCTAGAAGGAACTTCATGAGCACAGGAAAAATATAACCTGCCTGAAGCCAATAAGGAAGTGGAGGAAGAGAATCCTGAAGAAAGAAGGAAGTACCACAGAATACCTCAGGTGCCAAACTAGCAAATTTTACTGGTTATGTAGACAACACCTCAGAGATTTTTAGCAAGGGAGAGACATTATCAGAATTTTAATCTGGAGCAGAAAATGATATTAGAGGGGTGGACAACCAACTAGGAGCCTGCTGGAGAGGAATCTTCCCTCAGGTGCTAGGACTAAGGAGTAAGACTGGAAAGAGGGGACAGGGTAAAGGTGGAATGTGGATCCAGAGAAATGAGGAAAGAACACAGTACAGGCAGGCGAGGGAACAGCTGATTCAATAGGGATAAATAATAAGAGACCAAGGGAAACAGCCTCAAAAACAGCAAGTTCCAGGAGGAAAGCTAAAGGACCTCGGAACACAGAGTAGGTTTTTGCTCGTTTTTAACAAATTCCAAAAGTTTGGGAAACGGAGCTAAATGACAAGATGAGAATTACAAATGTGATTTTTCTCTCTGGAGCAAGAGCCAAAGCTGGCCCACCATCTTTGTACCGCCCATAAGCTTGCAACAGTCTCAACGTTTAAATAGTTGAGGGAAAAAAATTAAAAGAGTAACATCTCATGACACATGAAAATTAAATGACATTCAAATTTCAGTATTCATATATAAAGCTTTACTGGAACACAGCTGCACTCACATTTACAAACTATCTACATAGTTGTGTCTCACACTACAAGGGCAGAGTCCAGTGTTTACAACAGAGACCATGTGGAACCTCAAGCCTCAAATATCTACCATGTGACCCTTTAGAGAAAACAGTTACCAGGCCTGGGCTTAAGATGCCACAATGATGGGCTCTTAGCTAGGAACAGAATGCTTCTCAAGAAGAAAAAAAAATATTTTTTGCCTCAGGCTAGATCACTAAATTAAGCTGACTTTAATCTGAATGGGGTAGGAGAGATTTCTTAAAGTCCAGCTAATCTTGGGGATATCTATAATTGGAGGGCAGAAGTTCTAATGAGGGGGAAGGACAGTATGAGAGGACAGTAATCAGTGACTGACATGAGGAAATAACCAAGAGGGGACCCTGACTTCAATAATTCTTCAGTCTCAGATACCTGCACATCAAACACAAAGAATGGATAATGAATCAAGTGAACAAAACATATTATAGGGCATAAACAGAGATGGAAAGTGATGGATTAAAAAATACCATACTCAGAGAAAAGTCAGAGAAGAGCTTTGAATCAAAAGATTCACTCCTCAAAAAAATGGACAAAAACAAATTGGCAATTGATAAATAGTAATACTAAGCAATAAAAACATCAAGCTTAACCTCTAATAAACAGACATTACTCAGAAACAGTTACATGCCTAGCAAATTGGAAAATTATTTTTATAATAATGCCCATTTATTCATTCAACAAAAATATTCTGAACACGTACTATTGTGCTTCACAACGGATATACAGTGGTAAGTAAACCAGATATGGTCACTGCCCTGGAACTTGGTAGTCTAAAGTGGGAAGACAGATATAATAATGATAAATATATAATTTCAATTATGAAAAATAATAATAATTGCAATTATGATAAATGCCATGAAAAGACCCACAGAGAGTCATGAAAGGATAATATGCCTGAAGGCATCAGGAAAGCAATAGGAGATCTAACAGACTGGGTTGGTAGGAAGGAGAGGTCATCTATACTGTGTATCACCAAAGGTACAAGGAAAGAAGCACACTCTATACGCACCTTATCTGAGTGTTAACTGAAACAACTTTCACGGAGGACAACCTAACTACATAAAAGCACATTCTTTTTGATGCAGTGATTGTTGCTCTAGAAATTTATCCTGTGAAGTAATGGAAATATATGCAAACTTGAGCAAGATTTTTATCACAAGGTTATTTTTAATAAACCCCAGAAACAGTCTTAATGCCTAACTAAAGTTACAAGTTAAATTATATTGCACCCTACTGCCATTAAAAGTTATGTTATGGAGCACCTAGGTGGCTTAGTGGTTGAGCATCTGCCTTTGGCTCAGGGCGTGATTCCAGGTGTTGGGATGGAGTCCCACATCAGGCTCCACACAGGGAGCCTGCTCTCCCTCTGCCTATATCTCTGCTTCTCTCCATGTCTCTCATGAATAAATAAAATCTTTAAAAAAAATAATGTTGCATTACAATATTTAATAATGTGGGATGTTCACGATTTATATTTGTGACTAAAAAAAAACAGGTCACAAACCTGGACCAGAATGATTTTATTTTTATTTAAAAAAGTGGTAGGAGCGCCTGGGTTGCATAGTGGGTTAAGCATCTGCCTTTGGCTCAGGTCATGATCCCACAGTCCTGAGATCAAGCCCCACATTGGGCTCCCTCTCCCTCTGCCTCTGCCTATTGCTCCCCCTGCTTGTACAGTCTCTGTCAAATAAAGTTTTTTTTAAAAAAAAGTCACTTCGAATAATACTTGCTAGCTCCATTCATGTCATTGCAAATGGCAAGATTTCATTCTTTTTTATGGTTGAGTAATATTACATAGTATATATGTATACCACATCTTTATCCATTCATCAGTTGATGGACACTTGGGCTGTTTCCATAATTTAGCTATTGTAATTAATGCTGCTAAGAACATCAGGATGCATATATCCCTTTCAAAATAAGTCAAAGACAAATACCATACAATTTTACTCATATGTGGAATTTAAGAAACAAAACAAATGAGCAAAGGGTGGAGGAAGAGGCAAACCAAGAAACAGACTCTTAACTATACAGAACTGATTGTTACCAGAGGGGAGGGGGGCAGGGGGATGGGTGAAATAGGTGATGAAGAATAAGGCAGGCACTTGTGATGAGCACTGAGTGTTGTATAGAAGTGTGGCATCACTATATTGTACACCCGAAACTAATATTACACTGTATGTTAGCTAGCTGGAATTTAAATAAAAGACTTAAAGAAGAAAAAAAAAAGTCAACTTTTTTGGCTGATAAAACTATAGATGATTTTTATTTTCTTCTGTGCTTTCCTGTATTTCAAATCTTCCACAATCTTTATTACTTTTGTAATAAGAAAGTTTCAAAAAACAGACACATGGGGGATATTTAGAAACATGAAAGGGTGGAAGCTTTTTGGAAAGAAGATGCACGAAGCTAAAAGCAGAGAGGAACA